TCACAGACACATTCTGGGGACACCAGAGACTTATATTACATATTGTAAAAAGGGACATAATATGGCTCCTTTAACTAATGTTAACAAATGAATAATTACTGTAACAAATGTACTGCTTATTAGTTAATGCATTTACTAATGTTAACTAATAGGCAGGCCCTTATCATTTTCATAAAATTTGGAATATAGTTGTACCTTGTTGAGTTCGACAGGCTCGTACGGGCCGATCCGCCTGCTGCTCCACTTCTACTTTCACTCCAGGAAGAAATTCATCTGCTTCTGATTCCGATTCGAATTTGTCCCGCTTCCGCTTCTTCTCCTCTGGAAGCACCTGTGGCACAACGTTCCTTTAGCAACAGCACTCAACTAACTAATTGTGACCCTGGACCACAAAACCAGTCTTATAATTATTGATTTTTCTTTTATGTCAAAAATCATTAGGATATTAAGTAAAGATCATGTTCCATAAAGATATTTTGTAAATTTCCTACTGTAAATACATCAAAACTTAATTTTTGATTAGTAATATGCATTGCTAAAAACTTCATTTGGACAACTTTAAAGATGATTTTCTCAATATTTAGATTTTTTTGCACCCTCAGATTCCAGATTCTCAAATAGTTGTATCTCGGCCAAATATTGTCTTATCCTAACAAACCATACATCAATGGAAAGCTTATTTATTCAGCTTTCAGATGATGCATAAATCTCAATTTCGAAAAATTGACCCTTATGACTGGTTTTGTGGTCCAGGGTCACAATTATCCTCTGGATCATCATCATAACGCAGGCTCTGATGGCTTTACCTCCACGGGCTTCGGCAGGGTGAACGGCTCCACTGGTGCACTGGCAGCGTTTTCTGACTGCTCTCTCTCACGCTTTTTCTTTTTCTCCTCCTGGATCAAATACACACAGCATTTGTAAGATGAAAGGTAAGTAACTAGATAAAAAAAAAAATGTGAGTGGCTTTGGCCTTTGCAATCTAGTGTTATTTTAGTATCACTGAGATACTATTATAATTTTTTATATATATATATATTTTGAATTATTTTTGCATTTCCATTTTAATTTGTTTAGTAATTTTGTTGTGTTTTGTCATTTTTAGTTTTTTTTTAAATAAAATGTGTCTATATATTTTTTTTTATGAATGTTTATTTCAATTTTAGTGCATTAAGTTAAACTACATTTACAAAGATAAATGTTGTTTTGGCAACTCGCTGAAATAAAAAAAAAAGTTTTATTTATATTTCAATTTTATAACACTAAATATTATTATAGTTTTATTAATAGTATTTGTTTTTAGATTTTCCATTTTCAGTATAATGTTTGTTAACGTTTTAGCAATTTTGTTGTGTGCTTTTGTTATTTTTGTTTTTAAATGTCTATATAGTTTGTATTTTTTTTCTTTCAGGTTTACGTTGCATTATGTTACATGTTTAATTCATCAAGTAACATCCAATTATTCTCTTGAACTTAGTTACTTTAGTTACTGCATTCTGAATCCGATTTTTGTGTAAAAATGTCTTAACTTTTGGCAGTCCGCTCAAATTATAAGGGAAGAAATAGCCTGAAATATCACTTCCGGTTCACTCATCACACTGGAAAGGTCAAAAGCATTGCATTGTGTTATACAGTATTCCATGCAGCCTTGCACATTTCCGTAGAGGTATTAGCTCATCCGATATGATGAATATGCATCTTGAATATTCTCATACTGTGCACAATATGGACTACACGATTTGATGTCTAAATATGAGTGTTTAAGAGTCGCTCTTTCACTCACCTTCCTCCTCCTCCTACCCTCATCATCTACGTATTTCTCTTTCTCCGATTTCTTCTTCTTCTTCTTTTTCTTCTCTTTGTGCCTCTCCCACTCGTGGTCAGAGCGGTCGTCATAGTAACTGGAGTCGTGTCCGGATCCGGAGAGCTCGGTCACTTCACTGCCGCCCACCTTGAGCACCAGCTTCAGGGGTTTATCCAGGGGTTTGTCCTCGTAGTCTGAAAAACCACACACAAAGCCATCAAGAGTCCGTTTGAAATTGAAGATTTATTTGGTACATGAACAGACTTAATGACTTTTTTCTGCTCTTCAGGAGGAACTTCTCATTTACTTCTAGTAATAGACTACAAGGAGCATCACAATACTATAGTGTAAATACAACAAAATACCCCCTGATAGTCCTGTTAAACTAAATACAGCAATAAAAACCCTCTAGAGGTTTGTATTTCCTTTACGATAATCTTTTAGACCAGGGGTTTTCAAAATAGGGTCCGGGGATAGGGTAACAAATGTAAATAATAATAATAATAATATTAAACTAAGTAAATAAACAATAAAATAAATAATACAATATATAATAAATAAATTGTTTATTTAATTTTAAAAATATTATAAACTAACTAAATAAAACATTTTATTAAAATAATAATTAGACCATTATTATCAAATGAACCATTATTAAATAAATAATTTTGTTAAAATAATAAATAAATATTTTTTTAATTAAAATAAATAATAGAAATAAGATTAAAAAAAAAACATTTTAGCAAAATAACAAATAAATTAATAATAGAAAATGTATTAAAGTAAATAAATGATACATTTAACAGTACAGTACAGTACAGAGAGTAGAGAAAACTAAACGTAGTAATGGAATGGAAACGAAATATTTTCCCAATAATATTCTACACATCTATAATATTACAAGCTCACAATATAAACTGTGTCTTTAAACACGCAAACATATTTTAGGATGGAGGTCCTTAGAATCAAACAAATTGAAATCCCCACGATTCAGACAACGCCCAAAAGAAATAATCATGAATTAAAATGTATTACTTGTGTGTTTTTGTATGAATGAAAACAGATATATCATGTATTTATAGACTATTTGGAATGATACACAGACTTGCAGAACACTTAGAATGAATTAAAGCGATTTTCAAATGCATATCTAACATTTTAACGTTACCTCCTTCAACCTTTCTCCACTCGGGTCTGTGTTTCTTGTGCTTCTTCCCCATTTTTGCCCTTATTTATGTGGAAAAATCAGGTCTAATCTTGTAGATTTCGCGTATTTCTGTCTCGCTGCCGTTCTTCGACACAACAGCGACAACAACATTAGCAGTTAACTTCCGGTTTCAGGCGGCGTCGTTTCCGGGGCAGGCTGACGTCAGCGTGAGCGCGGTAAGTTCGAGTTTGTCTGAGGTGAGTGTGTTTATTTCTTCCGTGCTTTCTTCATTTACTTTATCTGTTAATAAACATGACAGTTAACAAAATAAACATCAGCAGACCCAAGAAATCAGAAAACTAATTTTCCGTTCGTTATTTGATTCGCGAGATCCTGCGTGATGTTTACGACAATCAAGGCTGCGTTTCAAAATGTAGTGAGCTCCCTAATTAGACCCCATGTTTGCGTGATCGCATAAAGAATACAGTGGCACACTGTTATTGTTACTGTGGGGTTAAATATCGCTTGCTAATTGGTTGCTTATTAATTAGCTGTTTGCTAGTTTCTGCGAGGTTGCCAAAGGGTTTATTTATAAATGTGACCCTGGACCACAACAAACCAGGCCTAAGAGTCTTTTTTTGGGGAGAAAGCTGAATAAATAAGCTTTCCATTGATGTATGGTTTGTGAGGATAGGACAATATTTGGCTGAGATACAACTATTTGAAAATCTGGAATCTGAGGGTGCAAAAAAATCTAAATATTGAGAAAATCATCTTTAAAGTTGTCCAAATGAAGTTCTTAGCAATGCATATTACTAATAAAAAACTAAGTTTTGATATATTTACGGTAGGAAATTTACAAAATATCTTCATGGAACATGATCTTTATTTAATATCCTAATGATTTTTGGCATAACAGCAAAATGTATAATTTGACCCATACAATGTATTGTTGGCTATTGCTACAAATATACCCCAGCGACTTAAGACTGCTTTTGTGCTCCAGGGTCACAGATGTGATGTTGTTTATGTCACCTGGTTACACCACAGTTGAATTTGGTGTTGTGTAGATTGTTATTCGTCGTCAGACTGTGTGCTGTGTGTTTTTCAGTTAACAGCAGTTTGAGTAATGGACATTTCTGACCATCACATGACTGATGTCGGCAGCATCCGCCCTGATGTGCACATAGAAGTTCATGTCAAATCTCAGAGGTAAGTCATGATTTAATGAACTCTGCATTATTCTATAGGATGAAATAGACACTGATTTAGTTTCACATTCACATTTAGTTTCACAGTCATTCCAAAAGAAATGAAAATGTTGTCCAGCAAGGATGCATTAAATTGATTAAAAGTCGACAGTAGAGACATTTATAATGTTACAAAAGATTTCTATTTCAAATAAATGCAGTTCTTTTGAACTTTCCATTCATCTGTGAATCCTGAAAAATAAAACATATCACGGTTTCCACAAAAATATTGTGCAGCACAACTGTTTTCAACATTGATAATAATCAGAAATGTTTCTTGGGCATATTAGAATGATTTCTGAAGATCATGTGACACTGAAGACTGGAGTAATGATGCTGAAAATACAGCTTTGATCACAGAAATAAATTACAGTTTAACAGATATTCACATAGAAAATTGTTGTTTTAAATTGTAATAATATTTCACACTTTTTACTGTATTTTTTATCAAATAAATGCAGCCTTGGTGAGCAAAAAAACCCAAAAACATAATTATTAAAAACACTGACCCCCAGTGTATATCGAAATGCAATAACAGTCTCGAAACAACTTTTCTTTTATGTTGACGTCACAAACCCCTGTTATTTTTGCAGACACTCCTCCCTCATCCAGTTGTTTCTCACCCTACTTTTTTTCCCTCATTGAATATCCTTTTCACTTTTCTGAAGTAAAATGAGTTTCTAATGTCTGTACTTACCTGCATGTTTTAAACGGTGTGAATTTGTGTTTGCAGCACAGCTAAGAGGTCTGAGGTGAGGACGCATGTGTTGTCACTGCTGGATCGACACAGCACCGTTTTAGGCTCCTACACATGGACAGAGTTTGATGATGAATTTCTAGCCAAAAATGTGGAGTCGGTCAGTGTAGCGGATTTAACTGGTCCAAAAGTAATTACAGATTTTCGTTGTCATCTGTGAACATTCTGCTTTATATTTGTGACCCTGGACCACAAAACCAGTCATAAGGGTCAGTTTTTTAAAATTGAGATTTATACACCATCTCAGGTTTGTTATGATAGAACAATATTTGGCTGAGATACAACTATTTGAAAATCTGGAATCTGAGGGTGCAAAAAAATCAAAATATTGAGAAAATCATCTTTAAAGTTGTTCAAATTAAGTTCTTAGCAATGCATATTACTAATCAAAAATTAAGTTTTGATATATTTACGGTAGGAAATTACAAAATATCTTCATGGAACATGATCTTTACTTAATATCCTAATGATTTTTGGCATAAAAGAAAAATCAATAATTTTGACCCATACAATGTATTTTTGGTTGTTGCTACAAATATACCCCAGCGACTTAAGACTGCTTTTGTGCTCCAGGCTCACATTTCATATACTGAATTTTGGAATGTCTAATGCATCTGTTTTGAGGAGTTTTTACACGTTATTTTTTTAGTCTGAGGTTTATGGGTGTGATATTTCTTTTATATCCTACAGCTTGTGGATCTGAAGGTTCACAACCTTTGTATCCATATTTTCTCTCTGAATGATGACAGTCCGAGCATGCTTGCTCTGGAAGAGGAGGAGGAGCTTTCGGCTGCCAATCATTGGCTCCTCCCAGCAGGTGATTATGCATGACACGCCCCTTTTAATGCAAATCACATTCAATGATTCCTTTAATGGAATCATTCACCCAGAAATTAGAATTCTGTGATTATTTACTTGTTCCAAACCTGTATGCTGTTATTATGTCTGTAATATAATGCAAATAGATTTTTAACACTTATGGTTTTTTTAACTGTTATGTTTTTTTTGTCCTTTTTTGAGCTTGTCAGTTTAAATCTGCATCCATTTCAAATAGAATAGAATTGAATGGAAAATAGCAGCTTAAACATTTTATCTAATATGTTATTGTCTGTTTCACTGGAAAAAAATAAATAAAATGATAATAAGGTTTGGAGTGACATGGAGGCATAAAATAATAACAACAGAATTTTATTTTTTGCATTAACTGTTCCCTTAAAAATAGTTCTTTGAGTCAATGCTCTTCTGTGTCAGGGTTATAGTTAACTAAACCTAAAACTTTTTTATTTTATAAAAAACATTTAATCTACCTGAAAGGCAATGTTTCTCATATTAGTTTGATGAACTAAAACTGAAATAACAATTAATTGAACTATATAGACATGTGTAAAGAAACAAAACTACTTAACTAAATTACTAAAACTTTAACCAAAATTGGAAAATAATAATAAAAATATATTTTATGTGATTGTAATATTTCTACTTTCCTGAGAATCTTTTTATTGTTTTGACAGCATTGAAAATGTTTTTAATCGAAGTTAATCCAAATTAAATTTTTATGGTACAAATGGGTCTTAATTAAATGTTAATCTAAAGTATGGTTTTCACCACAAAAAAGGCATGAAAAAACAAACACACTTATACACAGTACATTGTTCCAGAGAGCTACATAGTATAAGACTACAACATCATCATCATCATTTTCTTCTTCATGTCTTCCAGCTGAGTTTCATGGCATTTGGGAAAGCTTGATTTATGAGGAAGGCATCAAAACACAAGTAAGACAAGCATATTCACAGTTATCTTGGAATTACTTAAATTATGTAGCAGAATTATGCTTACTGTCTTGGCAGAAATAGACGGTATAACCAAAATCCTGTATCACAGCAGAGGTAATTTTATATATATATATATATAACAATATACACTACCGTTCAAAAGTTTGGGGTCAGTAAATTTTTATTCTTTCTTTTTTTGAAAGAAATTCAAACTTTTATTCAGCAAGGATGTGTTAAATTAATAAGAAGTGATAGCAAAGATTTATATTGTTAGAAAATATTTATATTTGGAATAAATGCTGTTCTTTTGAACTTTTTATTAATCAAAGAATCCTGAAAAAAGTATCACAGTTTCCAAAAAAAAAAATTGGCAGCACAACTGTTGATAATTCTAATAATAAATCAGCATATTAGAATGATTTCTGAAGATCATGTGACACTTTAGACTGGAGTATTGATGCTGGAAATTCAGCTTTGCATCACAGAAATAAATTCCAGTTTAACAGATATTCACATAAGAAACAGTTTTTAAAATTACAATAATATTTCACAATTTTTCCTGTTTTTACTGTATTTTTCATCAAATAAATGCATCTTGGTGAGCAGAAGAGACTTTAACATTTAAGAGACTAAAACATTACAAGTCTTACTGATCCCAAACTTATGAACAGTAGTGTATATACAGTACACACACACACAGTGCTTAACAATTTATTAGACCATCACCACCCATTGGTCCATATTCCTGTCTATCTGTTGAAATGTTTTTTTTTTTACACTAGCATATATAAGCCATAACATGACCTTTGTCTTCACTTTGTCTCTCCAGCTCTTGGATTATGTTTCGACAACAATTTTCTTCTCTGACAGAAATGTCGACAGCAATTTGATTGCCTGGAATCGTGTCGTGTTACTTCACGGTAAGACAATAAAAGCTTGCTTGAAAGCTCAGCAGTTTCTGTCTTCTGCCATGTTTATACAGTTGCGTGTCTTTCCTAACCCCTCAGGGCCGCCTGGCACAGGGAAGACGTCTCTGTGTAAAGGACTTGCCCAGAAACTTTCCATCAGACTGTCTGGCAGGTGAGACACCTTCATAAAACCAAAAAGGCAGCTGCTGGGCGTCCCGTGCCATCATTATTTGTGTGTTTCCACTCTGAACAGATATGCACACAGCCAGTTCGTGGAGATCAACAGCCACAGCCTCTTCTCCAAGTGGTTCTCAGAGGTACAGCTGGATCCGTCTGCTCTGAAACGCTTCCTCAGATCCGTGCCTGAAACCTCATTAACATCTGACTGCTTTTACAGAGCGGGAAACTGG